TTGCTTAAAATGCCTGATATTTTCAAGCCCACTCCTTTTTTTTTATTCACTATATGGTAAACCTGTGATATTTCCGAATGTTATTATCGAAGGGAAATTAATTAAGAAATTTATACTGTGCGCAACTGACTTTCACTTAGTACATATTATAAAAAGCACAAAACATACTGAACAGAAAAAATTCATCTTTCTTCATGCTTTTCGCAGCATATATATATTTGTATGATCCAACCTGCGGCGAGGTTATTCAATTTTATTGGCATTTGACCTTTGTACTGGATAAAAAATATTAATTACTAAAGTTAAATTGGAGACTGATAAATTTGTTCAGAAAAACAGTACAAATCATCAAATTTATTTCTCGACTGCAAAAAAGTGATATATTAAAGTTATAAAGTTATAAGTAATTCTTTTTTTTACTTTAATGTCTCTGGCTCTCACTTTCGCATACTTAAGTCTGATTACCGCTCGGTTAACTAAAGGTCACAGTCGATCATATAAATTATGCAATCGAGTGGCTAATCTGACTAGCCTTCGACCCTACATGGATTTGTAAGAACGTTAGTTATGACGAATAGAGTTGATATTTTTGTTGCTGTGACTCATATCATTTGCGCGGCAGTGACTTTAGAACTAGTCCACCAATTTTGTTGTAGCGAGCAGAGCAGGATTTCGCCTCTGTCCTTCGCATGAGCTACTGGGGTATCTTATAAGTTTTACCGTGACTTTCCTGCGTTCCATATAAATTTTGAAGGAGAGCAGCAACTGTATCTCCCGGCCATGCTCTGTACCACAAGTTCAGAATGCCCTAATGATAACTTTTCAATTAACACTGATGCGTGGCGTATGTGGGCCCTATGGAGGTTTTCTTCTCAAGATGGTTTGTCGGAAAGAGCGACACCAGTGCTGCCAATGGCGATGTGTTGGTGCTTCTCACACTTAGTCCTGTCGTGTCCTGGGGAGTACTCCCACTCTTTTTTCCTGCTACTAAGCCACTCCAGAAGACTTTTGGCTCAACGCATATTTTTTTTAATCCCTATACCTCAAAGATTTATATACTTGCGAGCATACAGGCTCTCTCTAAAGTTCTGGCACGCTGATAGGGTAGCCAGTATTGCTAAACCACTTATACCGCGAACATGGCAAAGATCTTTATTTTTACTTCAAACTATTCTTGTTAACATAATCTTTAGCTTCGTGTGGGGTATGGTTTAAGTAAAGAGACAGACTGAAGCAAGGTAGGGCGCCTCTGCATCCAGGTATACGTCTTAGGTAATGCTCGGCCCTGCAAATTGTTAAGTTTCTGCCCAGATGGAATTTCGAAGGAGAATACGGCAGGGTACAATCTGACAGTTTTCTAAACTTCGCCTCCTATTACCAACCTCTCGAGAGGATTTCACTTCGCAGTATACAGGGTAAGTCAAAATGAATATAGCGGTTACAAACGGCTAAAACTATTAAATAGAAAAGAATTTATCAATAAGAGTAACACAGAATGTAGACGGAACTACATAATTTCTCTACGTAAGGCGCAGATGCAGTGAAGCGAAAGCCTACGCATGCTTTTAACTTTTGAATTGAAGAACTCAGATTACGCATTTGTAATGTGTTTGCATCAGATTATGCATTTGTAATGTGACTGAACAAATGCTTCAGAACGTACGGTGTGAAATGGACTACAGCCCATATGTTGTCCGTGTGACCAAGGGAAGTCATATAGAACATCTATGAAGTATGTATACGGAATTTTGAAGTTCCGTGTACATTATGTGTTAATTTGAAAGATAAATTCGTTCTCAATAAATAGTTATAGCCATTTGTAATCGCTATATTCATTTTGACTTACCCGGTATTTAGAGTGTCCCTTTCCACACAGACACTATAGGCTTACACTATAGACTTTCTCCGGGCATTGCTACGTCAGTCAGCGTCACCAATCACTATGATAATTGTTGCAGAATTACTGGCCTGTTATCAGTACTGTAGCCTAGATCAAACTGCAGCTGTCCACGGGTCTTAAATACTGGGGAAATTTTGGGATCGATGTTAAGCTAAAAGATACTCTCTGGACCTGCTGGACTTCTGTGCACCGCTGACAGGACCTTCAGACAACTGATTCTTGGAATTAGATCTTAGACACCATTGGACATTTCGAGCCAGGACGCATGAAAAATCAAGTGTGCTTTAACCGGGGTAAGAGTCATATTTTTTATATGCTAACGAGACGTGCTAAATATTTATATTGTTATCAAGCCGAAGAGCTCAAAGGTAATGCCAAACATTTTCTAGGAACACCATCTTTTAAAACAAATTTGAAGGGCGGGCTTCTAGCAGCGGTATTTCACTATGATAGTTAAAGCGTTGGTTCAACATTACATCATACATATACTTACATCATGAGATCATGTGCTGTGGAATGCGATAATTACTTACAAAATATGTTCAAATTTTCTATTTGTAATAATTATATAGAATCGGGAGAATAATAAGACACATTTAAAGTACTTACTTACAAAAAAGCAAAGGAAGCTTATAAGGTATTTCTCCCACTTCCCTAGCGAGCCTTCGGGGTGTAGTGGTTCTGCACACTGAGCCGGAATTTCAGAGATCCGTGGTTCGATTCCCGGCGAAGGCGGTTGTTAATTTTTCATCTCTCTAGCTTCCAAAAAAACCTAATGACTCTACAAGTGGCGCCCGAACTAAAAGAGTTGTGGATGATGATTCTCCGCACCCAGGATTTGGCGACTAGGTCCCCTAAAACCCTAGTCGCCCTTTAAAAAGTGGAGTATATAAGGTATTTCTCCCATTTCCCTAGAGAGTCTTCGTGGTGTAGCGGTTCTGCACACTAGCCGGAATTTCAGAGGTCCGTGGTTCGATTCGCGGCGAAGGCGGTTGTTAATTTTTCATCTCTCTGGCTTCCAAAAAAACTTAATGACTCAACAAGCTTTGCGTGAAAGTTTATATTATTAAAATTAATTTAGATTAACAGTAAATTCATCATAAGTTTTTCAATTACAGTTATATTTGATTTGCATTTCAGCAATGCACACATACTAATAAAATATTATAATTTTACTTTAAACTTAAGTGGATATTTTAATTTCTGAGAGCAGGTTCTGAGTAAAGAAGAAATTCACCAGTAACATTTAGAATATGATTATAGAAGAAAGCTAATAGTGTTTCGAAGTCTAGCGTTATGGGTTCTTTACCTGTGCATTTTCCCTTAAAGTCTGAGATAATCGGTATTAATTTGTAACGTCGGATGCTATAATATATTAAATAGCTGTAGACTAAAATACATAGCTGAGCTTCCTTAATCTGACGATGACTATCGGAAGTAGTAGAAATATTCGAATTGTAACTTTTACGAAACAAACAGGTAATGTAAAATTTTATAAGGCAAAGTTATTTTTTGAACTCACTTTATGATACTTATAATCATAAAATGTCACATCGCTATGTGATATTTTATTAATGAATTTAGTTTTCCTCCTCATTCTCTCTCTTTAAAAGTTTTTTTTTTTTATTTTATTTTATTTTTACTTTTTTAAAGTTCTACCGAAGAAATATTATAAATCTTGCAAATTATCTGAAAGTTATATCTTTACCGGATTTAGGATCCGCAAAAGCGTTCTCAAAAGCTTAAAAACTAAGAAATCCTGGTATTTGACATTTGGTACATTGTAAATGTATAAATTGATTTGTTAAATAAGTGTTCAGGTTTGCTATTATCACTGCTAATTAAATATGTGTTTTCCTAGACACTTTACATTTTTAAACAAATTTTATAAATTTATATCTTAACTTGTATCTTTTTGCTACATCAATTAACTAAGGCTAGACGGTTAATGTAAAAACGTTTCTGAACTATACTCTTGAGATATTTAGCCTGTTAAAGAAATAATTCTTTAAAAACAATATGGCCTGATTTAGAGATAACAATTGCTTCCTTGTAAATTCATGTTTCTCTACAAAACTAAAAGACTTAGGATGACATTTAAACAGCCTCAGAGTTTCGCTTGGCATTTTACACGATAACCGAAAACGGCGTGTAAAGAATTAATTTCTCTTGACATCTGCTTTCATTTAAAATAAATTTAAATCTCTGTTTTCACTTAATTAAGTTTGTATGTGTTTTCAGCGATTGTCAATTTCAATTTTCAATTTTCCTTTGTTATTTTTTATTTCCATCGTTTTCTCTTGGAAGTTCTTTATCTAGTACGTCATGTCTGTTTAGAAAAAGAGGAATTATTTATATTATGTAAAGAAGAAATATTCTTATTTCTCTGCCTTTTATTAACCTGAGGCCTATTTCAGGTGTCGTATTAACTCTTTCAACTGAAGTTTATCATGAAGTTGTTCTTATATAAATCTATTTGCGCTTGAGCAAAACACTGTGAAACACTCTTAAGACTACCATTCGCGATTTTAGCCTTCTAAACAAGTGTTCATTCAGGAAGGTAATGCTCAATACTGATATTGTTTTAAGTCCTAAGAAATACTGATCGCTTTCAGAGGCGGTCGCCCTGAAAGGTTTCACTTTTCCAGCATATTAGGTATAATATATTTGTTTCCTATTGATCTCTGCTCCAAAGCTCAAGAAAAGATTAACTACCCCATCTATAAAGATTATAAATTATATTTTACATTATTTTTATGAAATTTTAATTCCTAAATCTAGTCTTTTAAAATGATTAAAGTACTTGATAAAATAATACGTAATTTGCGTGTGCAAAAGCCCTTTAATATGCAGAATAAAAATTTAGAAAAGCTCGAAGCGTTTCTGGAAGTAAGTTGCCATATAGGACCAACATAATATCATTTATTTAAAACTTCTTTTTCCTTAATTTTTCAATTTTTAAACTCCATGTTTTAAATATTTCTGAAACATAATCTTTGCCACGCGATATATACATCAGTGTTTATTGAAATAGTTAGTTAAATGTTTACTAGTTTGAAGTATTGCATATGATATTCATTATACGTTGTTTCAATTTCAGAGTCTTTATCTTTGAAACTACGGGAGGTAAAGGTTCCCGCCGTGGTAATCAAAGGAGATGATGTCTGGCTAAACTGCACTTACGATCTAGAGAAAGAGAAATTGTATTCAATTAAATGGCATAAGAATAACGTGGAATTTTATAGGTACTTACCAGAAGATCAACCACCTGGCCAAGAATACGAGCTTGCAGGAATTCATATAGACGTAAGTAAATAAGAGTCTCTCTTTGAAATATATGAAAGGAATACACTTTTTTATTCACCCGATGGTTTGAAAACTGACGACAAAGTATGTTTGCTGAGTAGCGGCATCCTACAGTCGCTATGATGATTATCTGTGGGATACCCTTGACTCAAAAACGTTATTCTGAGATGTTATGTTTTCCATTTGAAAGTAAGATGCAACGAGAATTCAGTTTAATTTCTAAACAATTATTCAGTAAGTGTGCGGTGAAATTACATAAAAAGCTATTTTCTCCCCATAAAACTTGTCTCTCTTTCAGGATACCGTTGCCTATTTTGTCCTTGTTTTGTGATTAGATGATGCCATATGTAAACAAATACACCTGTTTGGAATGTGAGTTTCGTAGAATACGTAATGTCTTCATTATTGATTGTTGAGGTAGTTTAAGGATTGAATCCAACTCAAATTGTCGTGAAATGAGCACTAAATGCACTGAATGGGTACTGAATATCGTGAAATGAGTAACAAGCAGCAAAAATCAAGTTTAAAACTCATTATACATTAGGATAAATTTAAAACCTGTCATATTGTTAAATGAAGAATTGGAGGAGTTAAATTCAATGTATTCAACTTTCAGCACGAATCGAGAAATCTGAATCCATCGAGAATCCATCGAAAAATCCATCTAGAAATCTCAATATCTTTCTTTTTTGCGCCTCGTACCGAAAATAATTCTGTAATGAGTTATTCTCACGAAATTTTTACCTCAATTCTTAGGTATATAATTAATAATTAAATTAGTAATTCATATTTTCAATCAGTATTTAAAAAAGCAAAATCTGAAAGGCTTTGTATTTTAATGTCGTAGCAGAGGTTTCCCCCGCCCCCCCTCTGTCTCTCTTTCTCTTTAAAATTATTTGTATGCTTTCATTGAGCTCACAGTCCACCAATCCGTTCTTGAACTCAGTCCTGTTAACTCATTTATTTCATTATTCTATTCCCCAATAAAATGGGAAAAAAATTATGATACCTGCTGATCCTCTTTTATACTTAGATTTGAAAATGCTACATCGCTCGTAATAGTATATCTTTAGGTCGTAGAGTGGTTCGTATTCCTCCGCAAATCGAGGTTAATAAGTTCTTTGGCGAATCGTCTTCCTTTCGAAGAATCGAAATAGATCTTGAAATCTCTGGCCTACATATTTTTATATACCACTTCATATTCCGCCGATGAAATTAAGTTTATTTTCGACATTAGGGTGCAGCTTTTTGTAAGTGGAAGTTACCATGACATTCTCTTTCAAACAGATTACAGTTATTTGAATGCTGTTAATATTTGTTATATGTTTATCGATCCCCTTGCCTTTCTTGTAAATCATTACACCAGAAGGATTTCTTTTTCTCTAGGACAGTCGCTCCTTTCCATAAGTGTAAATCTGTGTACTCCAAAGTAACCTCAGGATAAGATCCTCGTTTTGGCCAATAGAATTAAGTCGCAAATGGAGGCTTTTAACGGTAAAAATGCTTTAAACTGCATGTGGTTGTTATGTGGTCAAAGCAATAGATTACATATAAGAAGTCGGATTTAAATCGGCAAACAATATCTTTTACGTCAAATCAAGAGCGTGAAATGAAGCGGCATCGTAATCGTTGGAAGTTCATCTGAAATTGTCAAGCTGGGTACTCTGAGAAAGACTGAATACAGCAAATTTTATATGCTTTTTTAAGCAGATAAAAGGATATAAGTTAAAAATAAGCCCTAAATATTAAGATCTGGATTACAAACGTTATAAAAATTATATGCGTAATAATCCTGATAAGCATTATACGCGATATTCGTTACCTTCCTAAAAGCATATTTTTAGCGTTATAAGCGTCCACGAGTTATAAGCTTACATACTGCAATTTAATTAAGACACAATAACACGCCGAATAAATACTAATTCAGAAGTCAAACAACAAAAATCAGCGTTATACCTACAAAATTTTCACAGGACTAGTTTCGATGGTTTTACCGAACCATCATCTTCAGCTGCAAAACCGCAAATGAACAAGATAGGAAATAATGATTAGATAAGTTAAAAAGCCTGAACAAGAATAAGCAAGTGGCGCCATCTGTTGGCGAAACCAGAACTAAAACATAATTTCTCTAAAGCCAAAGGCAAATTTGGATTGGAATTAGGATCGTTAACTAGAACAGAAAGATTTTTATGAATGTGAAATGCCTCTAGAAAATCCAGTTCTCCAATGGAAGATTTTTTGAATAATTTTGGCAGCAAAAATTGAAAGTGTGATTTTCGGACCAGCAATGTTGAGCAACAGAAGACTTCTGTGTTTCCTTTTTTCTAACATATGCCTCATGTTCTTTGACGCGAAATTTTAAGGCTGTCTTAGTTTGGCCAATGTAAATTAAACCACACTGGCAAGGAATCCTATAAATACCCCAGGAATTCATATCCGGAATGGGGTCCTTGAGTATAGAAGTTGGAATTTTATTGATGGGAGAATAAACAACCCGAAAGTTAAATTTCTGCAAAATATGTGCAACTTTATAGCTAATTGATGGAAAGAAGGGAATGACAACAGAATTTTTATAATCTCCTAAAATAAGAGTGTGGCTTTTAGTGTGTTCAGATGAGAATTTTTTAACTGCTTGATTAATAATGTTGGGTGAAAAGCCCCTGTCAATAGCTATTGCTTTTAAATAATGTAGTTCTTCATCAAGGGCTAGTTTGGAGGAGCAAACTTGAAGAGCACGGAAAACATAGGAATAAAAGGAATAATAGGGTAATAATAGGAATAATAGGGGCTTTTCACCCAAATTATTAATCAAGCAGTTAAAAAAATTCTCATCTCAACACACTAAAAGCCACACTCTTATTTTAGGAGATTATAAAAATTCTGTTGTCATTCCCTTCTTTCCATCAATTAGCTATAAAGTTGCACATATTTTGCAGAAATTTAACTTTCGGGTTGTTTATTCTCCCATCAATAAAATTCCAACTTCTATACTCAAGGACCCCATTCCGGATATGAATTCCTGGGGTATTTATAGGATTCCTTGCCAGTGTGGGTTTAATTTACATTGGCCAAACTAAGAGAGCCTTAAAATTTCGCGTCAAAGAACATGAGGCATATGTTAGAAAAAAGGAAACACAGAAGTCTTCTGTTGCTCAACATTGCTGGTCCGAAAATCACACTTTCAATTTTTCTGCTGCCAAAATTATTCAAAAAACATCTTCCATTGGAGAACTGGATTTTCTAGAGGCATTTCACATTCATAAAAATCTTTCTGTTCTAGTTAACGATCCTAATTCCAATCCAAATTTGCCTTTGGCTTTTAGAGAAATTATGTTTTAGTTCTGGTTTCGCCAACAGATGGCGCCACTTGCTTATTCTTGTTCAGGCTTTCTTATCTTATCTAATCATTATTTCCTATCTTGTTCATTTGCGGTTTTGCAGCTGAAGATGATGGTTCGGTAAAACCATCGAAACTAGTCCTGTGAAAATTTTGTAGGTATAACGCTGATTTTTGTTGTTTGACTTCTGAATTAATACTGCAATTTGTTTCTATTTTTTTTAATTTATAAGCATTATAAGTAATATACGGTATCGCCCAAAAACCAAACATTCGACAACATGACATTTTTAAGCCTAATTAGCGTTATACATGTTAATAAAGTTATTTAAAGAGTTAATACTGAAATTGTGGGCTTCTTTTTTAAAAATTTGGATAATTTATCAGCTTTATATAATTTACAAGTTTTATAAACTTTGTAAGAGATACCATTATTGTCTCGAAAGCATACATGCGACAACTTATATTTGAGTGTTATAATCATTAGAGTTAATATTGTAATGTTTAACTGCTTTTCTTAAAGTGAGCATATGTTATAAGCGTTTTATACTTTATAGGCGTTATTAATGATATGCGTTATCGCCAGGAGAAAAATATTCGACAATGTAGTATTTTTGAGCGTTATATCCATGTGCTATGAGCGCATTCGAAAAACATCAGGAAATTCGATAATGTAGTATTTTTGAGCGTTATATCCATGTGCTATGGGCGCATTTGAAAAACATCGGGCAATTTGAATAGCAGTTTTATTTTTTCTTCATTAAACAACAATTTTCAGTTTCAAGAGCCATTTTGTCATAGATAAATTCAGCATTTAGCATTTCTTGTTTTAAACCTACTTTTCTGAAAGAGGGTGTCACATTATCTCATTCCAAATTCCCAAAGTTTGCAGTTGGTCATTTTTTCTTTCCTTTGCCATTTGAAAGCATCTAGAACTCTTGGCATTAAATATGTTACATACTATTCAGCATTCTTATTTGCTATTTGCATGAATGCTTATTTTGCTGAGAGTACGATAACTTCGCATTTTACAAGCAGCGTGGTTTCAAGACATTATTAATACCTAGAGGTGAATATATAAGGTATTTCTCCCGCCTTCCTAGCATAGCGCCTGTACGGCATGGAGGCACTCCATGCGGTACCTACGCAGTGTGGTGCCTACGCAGGTGCCTACGCAGTGTGGTGATCTGCACGCTGGGCGCGTATTCCAGAAGTCTGCGGTTCGATTCGCGACGAAGACGTTGCTAATTTTTCATCTTGCCTACTTCCAATAATACCTAATGTCTCTGCAAACGTTTCTAGCATTCATTAGCGTTAATGTTTAATAGTATGGTCAGTTAATTAATGTGTGTGGGCTATGTTGTTGTTACTTATCTCGCTTATCGGACAGTAACATCAGAACAAACCCTCGAAATTCATCGTGGAAGGACAGCAAGATTGCGCCTGTCGTTGGCAAGAGCCTTGAACACTATACAGGTGACAATATGACTTCGCTCAGTCCGCCTTCTATTCTGAATCAGAGAATCCCACGGGAACGCGTAGGAGTGTCTCCCATCCATCTTTCCCTATTATCTACGTCTCGAGAGGACTTTCCGTTCACCGCATATTTAGAGTGCCTCCATGCCGTACAGGCGCTATACGAATACATGTACAAACATCCATG